GAGCGTTTTTTAGGTCAAAATTACCGATTTTCTGTGAATTTTTTCAGGTATTCAACGGAAAGATGGCCGTGTCACTCTATTTTAACCAGATTAAACATGTCATAATTGTGCTAGAAAGATGCTTTTTAACCACCATGTTGAAAGATTCACTGAAGTGCGATGTCTAGAATAGTCCTCATTTTGAGCGTTTTTTAGGTCAAAATTACCGATTTTCTGTGAATTTTTTCAGGTATTCAACGGAAAGATGGCCGTGTCACTCTATTTTAACCAGATTAAACATGTCATAATTGTGCTAGAAAGATGCTTTTTAACCACCATGTTGAAAGATTCACTGAAGTGCGATGTCTAGAATAGTCCTCATTTTGAGCGTTTTTTAGGTCAAAATTACCGATTTTCTGTGAATTTTTTCAGGTATTCAACGGAAAGATGGCCGTGTCACTCTATTTTAACCAGATTAAACATGTCATAATTGTGCTAGAAAGATGCTTTTTAACCACCATGTTGAAAGATTCACTGAAGTGCGATGTCTAGAATAGTCCTCATTTTGAGCGTTTTTTAGGTCAAAATTACCGATTTTCTGTGAATTTTTTCAGGTATTCAACGGAAAGATGGCCGTGTCACTATATTTTAAACAGATTAAACATGTCATAATTGTGCTAGAAAGATGCTTTTTAACCACCATGTTGAAAGATTCACTGAAGTGCGATGTCTAGAATAGTCCTCATTTTGAGCGTTTTTTAGGTCAAAATTACCGATTTTCTGTGAATTTTTTCAGGTATTCAACGGAAAGATGGCCGTGTCACTATATTATAAACAGATTAAGCATGTCATAATTGTGCTAGAAAGATGCTTTTTAACCACCATGTTGAAAGATTCACTGAAGTGCGATGTCTAGAATAGTCCTCATTTTGAGCGTTTTTTAGGTCAAAATTACCGATTTTCTGTGAATTTTTTCAAGTATTCAACGGAAAGATGGCCGTGTCACTATATTTTAAACAGATTAAGCATGTCATAATTGTGCTAGAAAGATGCTTTTTAACCACCATGTTGAAAGATTCACTGAAGTGCGATGTCTAGAATAGTCCTCATTTTGAGCGTTTTTTAGGTCAAAATTACCGATTTTCTGTGAATTTTTTCAAGTATTCAACGGAAAGATGGCCGTGTCACTATATTTTAAACAGATTAAGCATGTCATAATTGTGCTAGAAAGATGCTTTTTAACCACCATGTTGAAAGATTCACTGAAGTGCGATGTCTAGAATAGTCCTCATTTTGAGCGTTTTTTAGGTCAAAATTACCGATTTTCTGTGAATTTTTTCAAGTATTCAACGGAAAAATGGCCGTGTCACTCTATTTTAACCAGATTAAACATGTCATAATTGTGCTAGAAAGATGCTTTTTAACCACCATGTTGAAAGATTCACTGAAGTGCGATGTCTAGAATAGTCCTCATTTTGAGCGTTTTTTAGGTCAAAATTACCGATTTTCTGTGAATTTTTTCAAGTATTCAACGGAAAAATGGCCGTGTCACTCTATTTTAACCAGATTAAACATGTCATAATTGTGCTAGAAAGATGCTTTTTAACCACCATGTTGAAAGATTCACTGAAGTGCGATGTCTAGAATAGTCCTCATTTTGAGCGTTTTTTAGGTCAAAATTACCGATTTTCTGTGAATTTTTTCAAGTATTCAACGGAAAGATGGCCGTGTCACTATATTTTAAACAGATTAAGCATGTCATAATTGTGCTAGAAAGATGCTTTTTAACCACCATGTTGAAAGATTCACTGAAGAGCGATGTCTAGAATTGTCCTCATTTTGAGCGTTTTTTAGGTCAAAATTACCGATTTTCTGTGAATTTTTTCAGGTATTCAACGGAAAGATGGCCGTGTCACTATATTATAAACAGATTAAGCATGTCATAATTGTGCTAGAAAGATGCTTTTTAACCACCATGTTGAAAGATTCACTGAAGTGCGATGCCTAGAATAGTCCTCATTTTGAGCGTTTATTAGGTCAAAATTACCGATTTTGTATGAATTTTCACACACTGCTACCATAATTTTTGAAAATGATACTGAGAAAACTTGGACCATTCCCGGACATAAATCTCACTGAGCAATTTTTTGAATTTCGAAAATTATATTTTTTGAATCTCTTGCAAGAAAGCAAAAAAGCTTGTATCACAACTTAAATTCTTTTTCCGGAAATTTTCAGAAATATTTATGCTCGTTTAGAAACAGTAAAATGGAACGTAATCGTTGGATTGAGGCATCTAAGAAAGTTGAAGAAGAATTTTGAAGTTTTTGGGATGATTCAAGAACGAGATCAAGTACGAGACGTTATGGAACACTTGTGAAGCAATCAAAATCTGAAAATTGAAAAATTGAAAAGAAATTTGAGACAGGAACCATGCTACTCAAAATTCAAAACTCTGAAAATTTACTTCAAGTTTATTCAGACACATTTCTGATTTTTAGTCTCTGAAACGATAAAAATCCAATAAAAAATGGAAAAAACTGGGATGAAAAAAAATTATCATATTTTCATTGTTGCGGACCAAACAGTTTAAACGAATTTTTGATTGCAAACGCCTCGAGGCCTGTCTCGGGGATTTAGGAAATTTGCGAGCTTCTGATTGGAATGATAGTCTGCATTCATTTATCAGATGACGTGGCACTGATAGTAATTTGCTCCAGCATTTTTTTCAACCAGATTTCAGTAAAACTTCTGGAAAACAGAGGTTTTTACTTTTTGGATCCTTGAAAACTCACTTTTTTCCAACTTCTTTTTCCCAAATCGATGTCGATCTGATGTTGACGTCACAGTTGAGAAGATAGGAATGAGATTTTGAATGTCATGAAATAACCGAGGTCTTCTTCATTCTCATCTTTAGCTTGACGATCGCTAATTCTTTTCCTGTAGTTCGCGAGTTGCTTGAAAATAGCCGAGATGATGAGTTTGACTTACTCTGGATCAATTCCCTCATTCTTCATAACCTCAATGCTGGATCCGTTGGATCTCATGAACGGAACCAAGACCTCAACTCCGTTATCCTTTTCCATAGCGTTCAACGCCTTCAAGACCTCGCTCCAGATGCGACGGTTATCTTTCATGCCTTGATTCTCGACACAGATGAAAAGGAGTGGGATAATCTCAGTAGAAGAGGCACAAACACCATCGTGAGTTCAAAAGTTCAATTTCTTGATAACTAAATCGCAGACGTCAAAAACGTCTGGCATGAAAGCCTCCTTCGATTTCTTGGCGAATGCGATGAGCATCTCACAAGCGGTAGCTTTTTCTTTGAGACCGACGGTCTTCTCATCTCCGAATCCGTGGTACTCCCCGCTTTCCTCGGTTTCATGAATGTATTATCTGGGAAAATCAGGGGTTATAGGGAATACAATTAGAACACTCACTGTTCAAGATGTTGAAGTGCGGGTAAAAGAGGGCAGCATAAAAAAAGGGCTCCATGATAATCGGAAAACGAAGTGAGATCCAAGAACCGAACAGAAACGACTCCACGAGCTGATCATATAGATGTATTGTGAATAATCAATAGCCAAATCGTTTATTCTGCAGCTTTCACGTAGGAGCAGTTGGCTTCTATGGCGTTGCCAGATTGCTTTTGTCTCTGTTTTCGTTTTTTTTTCGGCGAGCTAAAAAGACATTCTTGAAACATTTTTGACTGGAAAAAACAACTCACAACAAGTAAAACACTGCAAACTTGACGCAGAAGTTAACCCGGCAAGCTTTCACAGAGCACCATCGGCATCATTCTCGTCGCTGGTCTATTTATTGCTGGGTATATCTCTCTGCCAACCCAAACCACACAGGGAATTGAACACAGCGAGAGGTTTCTCATAAACATCCAGCAAAGATTATCCGCAGGTAGACAAAATGTATTCTCAAGCGTTAAGCATGTTTGCCATCACGTATAGATTTATTGAAACCAGTTGTTCAACGCTCCGTAACTGGAAATTGTGCTATTGGTATCTGGCTATAGAACATTTGAGGCAGTCGGCAATGTTGGTTTTCTAAAGCACATTCATAAATCACTGCGACACCATGAATCTGAAACAAATGGTTTCTTTCGAATGAAATGTTATAGTGATTCTTACCTTTATGCTGAATGCATGATTGTCTAACATGATGACGTAAAAATCGATATTCAGTCAATGTGTGTGCAGGACGGTCCTCTTTAATAACAAACAACGACGGCACTTCTCGTGAAAAAATTTCAGATTCCAGTGCAGATTTTCGAGATGGGGAAACTGTACTTATTTTCGACATAAGAAAACTGATTCAAGAGTCGTGAGCTTCAAAATCAAAGAAATCGCTCTGGATATGACGATTGCCTGTGCCGGCATTTTTCTGACGACTTCTGTCGAATCCAACGCTCCTCATTTGAATCTTAATGTATGTCGCTTGATTTTGTTGTGAATTCGTTCCTCATGCCTATGACAAACTTCTAGGCAACAATGAAAAAGAAAAATTCCAAATGGAGAGAATAACGGCGTTGCATAGGCATTTTGCTGACCCCTTCAATCAAATCCAACGCTCGTCAAATGACTCTCCATGTATGGCACTTCATCTTGCTATGAATTCGTTCCTTATGTCGTTGATTAAATCCTCGGAAAGTTTCAAGTTTTTCTGTAACGAACGAATATCGAAAATTTGTGAATCAGTGAATAATTGAACACTTACGACACTGATCCTTGTCAAAACCTTGTCCAACTGTTAGATTCAGCGATAAAAATCGCTTTGAGGGTTCGAAAGTGTGGTCTGAAACGTCACAATGATGAGATTTTTCATGAAAGAAGGGAGATAACGTCGGAAAAGCTGCTGAAAATATGAAGTCGTGCAGGAATTTCGTGCGTTTGACGGTTGACGACTGCATGTGCGTGCACACACGTGAGAGGAAGAAAGAGGTAAAAATTTCAGTCGAGGATTCGTACGAATAAAAGAACTAAAAAAGTCGAAAGTGAGAAAAATAGTTAAAAATTCAAAAAAATTAAATTCATTCAGATACGTTGAATCGAAGTCTTCCGACTAGTCAAACAGTGTATATTTTCAGTACAAAAATTTTTGATTGAAGTTACATTCAAAATTTCTAAATCGATCACAAAAACTGATATTATTACAATGTATTTTTAAATGTATTTTTAAATTTCAAAAACCATCATAACAACAGGAAGATAGAGGGGGGGGGGGTGGATTTGATAAATGTAAAATAGTGATTTGGTGAACAAGTTTTTGGATAAAACAAAGGGGGGGGGGGGGGAATTGCCGTGCGTGAACAGTTAGAAGCATTTGCGATGAACAATTCTGGCCCCGCACTCGTCGTATTCATCTTTTCCGACCCACATTGGTCCAAACGAACTGAGAGAGCAGATAAAGGAGCCACCGATGAAAATCGAATGTTTCCGCTCGGGTGGAGTGATCACTCGAATATCCACACTCCTGGAAAATTTTCATTTCTATTGTTCTCCTCACATTTCCTTATACTTTTCTCAGATCTTTTTTAATATACTAAAAATTTGAAAGTGTTCAGAATTGATATAAAACTTTGGGAAGTTGAGAAAAAACGACTTACGCAGGCGCCAGGTTTTTCATCTCTCTGCACAGTCTCTCCGCGAGTCCATGAAACATGGTCGTTCCGCCAGAGAGAATGACGTTTTGGTACAAGTCCCTCCGAATATCCAGGTCGCTCTTCATGATAGCTTGGTGAGCGACTTTGTGAATTCCGTCCGCTTCCTTTCCAAGAAGACCAGGCTGAAATTATCAAATTCTAATCCGTTTTTGTTCTTAATGTGGCTTGCTAGCATTATTCTGCACTGAAGCAGTGGTCACTTTGCAATTGTTGACATCTAATGAAATTTTTAATATACTTACCTGGAAAATAGCTTCTCCGACTCTGAAGCGTTGGTTACCGATGTCGATCGTGTGTCCGTAGGATTTCTCGATCGTGCTCATCTTAGCGGCCGTCTCCATCTCCTTTTCAAAGTCTTGGGCAATATACCCTATCTTCTCTTTGATATCACGAACAACTTCGCGTTCGGCTGTAGTTGTAAATAGGTGTCCTCTCTCGGTGAGAAGCTTGGAGAGGTAATCAGTGAGGTGGCGTCCGGCGAGATCGAGACGTTGAATGGCATGAGGAATGGCGTAACCTTCGTAGATGGGAACGGTGTGGGTGACTCCGTCTCCAGAATCCAAGATCATTCCAGTGGTCCGTCCAGAAGCATAGAGGGCGAGCACGGCTTGGATGGCGACGTACATGGCTGGAACGCCGAGACTTTCAAACATGACTTCGGTCATCTTCTCGCGATTGGCTTTTGGGTTGAGTGGAGCCTCGGTGAGAAGAAACGGATGCTCCTCCGGAAGAACACAAAGCTCATTGTAGATGGTGTAATGAAGGAGTTTCTCCATGTCGTCCCAGTTGGTGACGATTCCCTGTTCGATCGGATACTTCATCGAGAGAATTCCTCTTTTTGACTGCGCCTCGTCTCCAATGTAAGTGTCCTTCTCTGCGATTCCGATCATCACACCCTTATATTTTGGGGTCCCGACGATCGACGGAAAGATGGCTCGTGGAACAACTTCCCCGGAGAATCCGGCCTAAAATTGGAAGATTTATTTTTGGAGTTTGATGTGGTAGAAAAGAGGGTCTAGTATCCATTAAGAAAAAACATACCGCGAAACCTGTATTAAAAGGGCTGACCATTCTATTTCTCAAAGGTACCTCGAAAAATCGAAATCTTAGAAAATAACTAAACAGTAAAAAACATTTTTCTGTCAAATAAAAAACTTTCCAACATCAGAGTGTCATCAATTTCAGAAATTTCAACTTTTTCAAATGCGATAACCCTGACCAAGCCGATCCGAGCTAAGCCGAGCAGGGCCAAACCGAACCAAGCCGGGCCAAGCCGAACCAGGCCGGGCCGAGCCAAACCAAGCCGAGCCAGGCCGAACCAAGCCGGGCCAAGCCGAACCAGGCCGGGCCGAGCCAAACCAAGCCGAGCCAGGCCGCACCGAGCCAAACCAAGCCGGGCCAAGCTGGACCAAGCCGGGCCAAGCTGGACCAAATCGGGCCGAGCCGAGCCGAGCCGAGCCGGGCCAAGCTGGACCAAATCGGGCCGAGCCGAGCCGAGCCGAGCCGAGCCGAGCCGAGCCGAGCCGAGCCGAGCCGAGCCGAGCCGAGCCGAGCCGAGCCGAGCCGAGCCGAGCCGAGTTGAGCCGAGCCGAGCCGAGCCGGGTTATGCCGGGTCACGTAAGTCTCCTACCTGGCCCGGCCAGTGCCCTACGCCCACTTCAAAATAATGCTCTGTATACTCTTAGAACCGCCATCAGATGTACCTCCTAAAATCAGCTTCTAGGAGTACCCCAAAATTCTAATTAAGGTATTTTGTGTACCCGCTTGATTTGTTTTTGATCTATATTTGAATACTCAGTCAAGAAGAGCTGCCCTGGAAGGTAAAACATACTTTGATCATTCCTGATCCTGCGTCGATGACGACGGAAGTGACATCTTCAGTAGCCATATTGATTGTTGGTAGGACGAGGTGCTGGGCAATTCAGAGCTGGAATAAGAGATTATCAGTGATGTTTGGGGACAAATTTATGGTTTAATGGAGGAAAGGGTTGATGGGAAAGGAACGGAACAAAAAACCGTCACCACCGGAAAATGCTGATGATGAATGACTGGATCGCTATCAGCTATCAGCTTTCTATACAGGCTCCGCCTTCTTTTTTGTTTTGCATGTTCCTGCATTCGAAACAGTACGCGAGGGAGAGAGACGGAGAGAAATCCCATAAAATTATTGAGTCATCACGAAAAAAATTCGTAAGCAAAATGTCTCGTGTTTTTTCCCTTTCATAATAGCTGATCAAAAAGCAAACAATCAAAACAATACTACAGTACTACCAGGAACAACTTAGTTTTGTTAATTTATTCTTTCGCAAGGGACCAATCGAAGGTACTCTACCGTGTTAACTCACCAAGACTTTGAATCATTGAAATGTTGAGATGTTCCTCTTGACAGAACAAAAGAAAACACGAAAAGCTTCTTTTCCAGTCATCGTCGGAGAGAAGCTTCTAAGCGAGTAAGAAAATAAGCTGGAAGCATCAATTTTCCGTTGATGCGGGCAAGCGACACGGTCGATAGCAGATTCGGCGTTAATTGGAGCGCTGGAAGATAACAGTTCAACTGAATGTAAGATCTACTTTTCGTAATCGTCCTTCTCCTCAACCTCGTTGAGCAACTCGTTCGCAACTTCTTTGTCCGATTCGGCCATGCAGAAGAGAAAGAATCATTGAAAAGGCATACTTCTCGACTATTACGTGCAGACTCCATTTAGGAGCAGATTATCTCAATGGCGTTTTGGTAAGCCAACCCGTTCTTGTCCTTGTTTCAGGCAATCTTAAATAAACGTTTATTGAGACAAATTTGGCTGGAAAAAACTTACAGCGAGGCAAAAACTGAGAACTCGATTTATATACATAGTTGAAGAGCCAACGCTACCTCGACAAACTCTTCAAGAGGAACATCTGCATCATCCTTGTCGCTCGTCTCACTCTGAACTTGGACACAATTTGGAAAATCAACTTTTCGAGATATCAGCAAAGCTATGCAGATTTTGCTGGTAGAGATCTGTCGCGAGCTAACCGCGACACGTTGTTTCTCACTCTGATGTCGTGAGCTGGAGCAGGTGATACAGAGAGATGACTGATAGCTCTTTTCGATCAATTCCCACCTTCAGATTCTGTAGGACTTGCAATCCACATTATCTGTTTTCGTTTGTGTATTGATAAATTCCATCGTCTTCTACAAATGACACGGTCTTCTATGAGTTCCATTGCCTTCTTGAGAATCAATTGTTCCCTACTAACCATGCCGACAGTGTACAGTTGTTGCCTTTCCGTTGCAGATTCATGCACGAATGTGTTCCCACAAACCTAAAAACAAACATTACTTTCCAAATTAAGTGTTGTTGTAATACTCACGTTTTAAGCGTTGCATACATTATTTTCCGACGGCAAAAATCGATATTCCGCCAAAACGAGGGCAAAATGGACCTCTCTCCTAACAAGCAATGACGACATTTGTTGTGGAAAACTTCCAGATTCCTGTGTGGTTTTTAGAGTTGAGCAGAACTGAATTTATTGGCGGTTCCGATTCTAGAAGACTGTTTCGAGACTCGGGAGCTCCAAAATCAACAAAACTCCTCCAGAGGCCACGGTTCCTAAGATATTTGGTGGTATGTCGAAACAGCACATCTATCCAATAATCTTTATCATTTTTGTAGAAATAAAAAGCCTTAAGCTTGAAATGCAACATCCATTAACTATTGGGGAATAAAACTTCCGCAAATCAAGAATGAGTTGCGATTGTGGCATTTGCCACTGTTTCCTCTCAAATCCACCGTTCGTCGATTATCAATGTTTCGAACATAGTTTTGTTATAAATTTGTTCATCATCCCTTTGACAAACTTCTCGGAAAGTTTCAATCGTTTCTGTAATAAATTAATCGAGAATTTTCATAAAACTTGAATAAATGAACACTTACGGCGCTGAACCTCAAGAAATCCGTGTCCAGCAGCTAGAGTCAGCAATAAAAACCTTTCCGGGGGTTCAAAATGGGGTCTAAAACGTTTTATTGTTGAAATTATTCAGAAATGAATGAAGATAACGTAGGAAAAGCTGCTGAAAATAAGAAGACGTGCCACAGTTCCGTGCGGCTAAACCAGGCGCACCCCTCCCCCCGTTATTCTGGAGTGTCGTTTTGCGGTGGACGACTACATGTGCGCGCACACACAAGACGGGATAGAAGGTGAATGAGGATAATGGGTCGATAATTCACACCAAAAAGATATATATTTATATATAGGATTTGATTGACTTGCCGAGGTCTTCCAGATTGGTCCGAATTCTGAATTATCTGTGACAAAAACGTGAATTCTAATACACTGCTGCACATAATTATAAATTCACCTTAAATTTTGATTTTTTTAGAAAACTGTTAAGATATACCTGGCAGCCTATGATTGGAGTAAATACTAATTTGGAATGTCAATTAATTTATACCATTTGCGACCGCTCCCAATTTGTAATTTTGGAAAACTCGAAAAAATTGAAAAAAGGGCACCAAAAACCTGCACATAATTATAAGTTCACTCGAAACAATCGAAAATAACTCTAGGCACAGATTGTAAAATGTAATGAAACTAAAAAATATAGTGAAAAAATATCAAAATAATTTTGTTTATAAGAGAACTTTAGTTGTACCTAGAATCGTAATTGGGCCACATCCGTTTTCGGCCAGCTTACACTGAAAATGAACTTTTTCGTTGATAACTGTTCAGAAAACACTGCTGACTCTAATTTTTTGTGTTTTACAGGATCAATCCTAATTGCTTCACACAGTTAACTTTCGAAAAACATGAGACTGGTTTGAAAACCAAGAAAAATTTCTCATTTTAGCCCAATTTCCCAAGTATGTTCCGAGTGGTACTGTGTCTTCCTCGGCAGACATCTGATTGAGCCGGCTAGCATAAAAGGAAGGTGCACATGTTTTCATTTAGGAACATAAATAAAACTATAAAAATCTAAATCTTGGGTTTACGAAATTAGCAACTTTTTGGACCATCTCACACTCAAGCATCAAAAATGGGCTATGTGGAGTCATGTTTACGGAGCTGTTTTGTGATGAAGGAGTTACGCATTCTGATTTTCCTTTTTTTTAAGTCATACTTTTCAAGTTTTGAATTCACGGATACAACCGTTAGATTATTTTACAGTTGTTTTCTAGACGTACGATAGACCTAGAAAGTTATCACTTTTCGCAAAAAAAATGACCAAATTCCATGGTCCCAAAATCATTTAGAACTCAACCTTTCAATCTAAAAACTGCTCAACATACTTGAAGAATTGCAAGCAAAATATGCATAACGTTTCATTCTGATAGATTCACTTTGAAGGAAAACATCTGTCAAAAAACTATACTTTACCAACCTTTGAGAAGCTACCGTATATCTCTCCGGAACGTATTTTTCGAAAAACCAGTTCAACTACAAAAACAGATGTTAAGACTTTTCGAGTATGTTGAGCAGTATTTAGATTGATGAACAAGTAGAAGAATATTAGATATACAATTGATAACGAGTAGAAGAATATTAGATATACAGTTGAAGTGATTTTCATAGAAGTAGCCAAGACCATTGGCAATACGAATTCCCATGAAAACAACAATCGCTCATTGGAATCCAGTTGAATAGTGTTTATCATTAGCTTGAGCATCCAATCTTTGAAATTGAAGAAGGAGAGAATTTGCAAGTAGTCAAATCGAAGAAAAACTCATGAAATTCCGTCCCAAAACGACAATGATGTCGTCGCACCGATATCTGGAAACAATCATCGCAGTGATGATGCAAAGAGGAAAAACTCACACTTTTTCGAGTAACCATATATGGGAGTGACCAGAATGACCGGATGGAGATCCATGCTGATTGCTTCACCGTTGGTAAAAAATATTATAAATCTTGAGCAAGTTAGTAGCTGTTTCGGAAGAATGACCCTCCGAGCTGTCGACACAACTATGCAGATTTAGCTCATAGATGTTTCTAGCCAGCAAACAGCCACACGCCTGTTTGTCACATCGTCGTCAGAAGTTTTAGCATGATAGCTAATTTAAGCTGTTCATTAATTCCCGTGTTCAAATACTGCAGCACTTGCAGTTTACTCCATCTCTTTTATGAATAAATCTTATCGTCATCCACAAATGCCACGATCATCTTTGGAATCCATCGCCTTCTCGAGAATCAACTCTTCTTCACTAGTTCTGTCGACAGTGTCGGACTTCTGGTTTTTCATTGCAGATTCTTACACGAGTGAATGTATCCGTGATACTGAAAACAAATATTACTTTGCAAATTAAGTGTTGTTTTAATACTCACGTTTTGCAGACACCTCCGACGCCAAAAAATCGATAGTCCGCCGGTTTGTGTGCAAGATTGTCTTCCTAATAAGCAATGAAAAAAAAGCAGTTTTTGTGGAATACTGCGGGGTTTTAGCTGGTTCGTAGATATCCGAAGATAGTACTCATTGTCAGAATCCAACACAACAAGGCTGAATATAGATCCAATCCCAACAAAAATCGCTTCAGCGATGATGATTGCGTGCGTTGCTATCATATGGTTGGCTTTAATTCATCACATCGAATGAAAGTCAATGTCGGAAATCGGAAATGTCCAACTCAAGAACGTAACGGCGTTGTCTTGGAGTTCCGCACCTGACTGGTCAGCAAATCATGTCAAGTTCTTCGGCACACCAACTTTGAGAGTTTCCTGATAGACATTCTCGGTAGTCAACGTTGTAAAGTTGTTCCTCCGTGGAAAGTTTATGTGTGGATGAGATGTCGACATCGTGTCACTAAAATAAATAGTTTTTTTTTAAAATCAAATGTGGTATAATTACATGTTTCGCCACTTGCACTCATTATTCTCCATCATGACGACAACGAACAGCAACAATGACACTTCTAAATTTTCAGCGGAAACACATTCAATAATATGAAGAGCGTAACTGTAATGATTGACTGCTCCGACAAGAAGACCGACTCGAGCTTCGCAAACAGCAAAAATGGTTCCAGCGACGACTGATTACGCTTCTTCCCATTAGTAGTAGATAATGAAACGAACATCATATTTTTTTGAGCACGAGGATGGTCCTGATGTCGCACTTATCCCTGAAAACAAATATTGTAGTGAGAAACAAAGTGAAAAACACTCACACTAGTCTGCAATTACCCGTTTTTGGGTACTGGAGTGAATCCAGGGGCTCTTCACGAGTACAAATCGTTGTAACTCGACATTAAAATCTCTGTCTGCTAATTCTGTCAAGAAGTGCTCAGAGGAAGGACAGTGCAGTCCGTCGTGGCGATGAGATTGCTTATTGTTGTTTCATGTTCCTTCCCGGCCATGGCAATGGTAGAAATATTCGGGAACTTTAACGAGTTAATAGATGGTTCGGAAGAATTGAGTTTCCGACTTGTCAGCAAAACTATGCAGATTTAGCTAGTAGAGAGCTGGAGTGAGCTAACCGCGACACCTTGTTTGTCACACAAGCTGGAGCAGGAGATGTTGGAAGCTGGCTGATACATGTTTTGACTGGTTCGCTGTTGCCATTCCGATCCAATCGCAATATACACTATCCGCCTTTGTTCATTTATTGATACATTTCATCGTTTTCTACAAATGCCACGGTCTTCCATTCCAACGCGTTATTAAAAATTCTAATCTTCTTCACTAGATATGTCGACAGTGTGAAGCAGTTGATTTTCCGGGGCAACTTTATCCGTGATTTTTTTTTCAGCATCTAAAAACACATTTTTGTGTTTCATTTAAGCGTTATATTAGTACCCACATTTTTCTTGTTGCAGACATCAGTGTCCGACGGCAAAAAATCGATAATCCGCCAATATGTGTGCACGGTGGTCCTCTCTTCTAACGCAATGACGACACTTAATCCATCATGTCCAATGAAAGTCAAGACTTTTAAATGCAGAATCAAGCTATATTGAGGTGGGAAACCGGAAATATTCATTTCGGGAGCGATGCGGCGTTGGATTTCGCACCTGACTTTTCTGGTGAAAATCTCACGGCCGCCAACCGTGTCAAATTGTTTGGCACACCGTCGCTGGGAGTTGGCTGATTGTCATGGAAGGTGGTTGACAGTGAGAAGCTGTAAATTTTCCGTTACATATTCATGCATGACTGAGATATAACATTTGTGAATCTGAAAATGAAATGTTTATTTCAAATCTAGTTCATTGTTAATGCTCACGTTTTGCCACTTGCGCTCATAATTTCTCCACATGCTGACCCTGAACCGCAGAAACGACACTATTAAATTTGCGGCGGTTTGTAGATTCATCAGATGAAGCGGTTACTACGACAAGAAGACCGATTCGAGCTTTACAACCAGCAAAATTGTCCCAGCGACGATGATTTTGTCGACAGCGTGAGTTTTTCACGATGATCAGTCAAGAAGACAAATACTTTTCTTTTCTTCTTCCATCTATTGCTTTTATTGAAATCCGAAACGTTGATATTCAAATTGATGATCGACTGTTATAAGAGGGTGGGAGTTTCCAATTGTAGAGCATGTTGAGGTAATTGCGCCTTTTTCCCGCTTAATCAGCTACCCGTCCTTTCAATTGCGAAGTGTGGCATGTTGTTTTGTTATAAATTCGTTTTTTATGTCGTGGACAAACTCCTCAGAAAGTTTCAGTGTTTTCTGTAATGAATAAATGAAGATATTTGAAGAATAATGCATATTTGAACACTCACAACGTTAAACAGTACAGAATCCATCTTCAGCAGCTTGATTCGAAGATGAAACTGTTCTTGTTTGACAATAGTATCGTCTGAAATATTTTTACGTAGGAAATTTGCAGAAACATTAGAAGATCTCAGCGGAAAAGCAGCTGAAAACGAGAAAACGAGCCTGAAATTCGTTCGGCTAAACCAGGCGCACCCGTTATTCCGGATTGTCGTTGCGCGCGCACACACCCCACGGAAAAAATACAATTCAGAAATATGAGTCAGAATAAACAATATCAGCTCTTCATAGATTCTGATGCAAACTTGAATTCTCAATAAATTGATTTTTTGGAAAAAAAAACTGCGCGGAAAATTTCAACAAAATACGCAGGCAAATTGTGACACACCAAAATACTAGTCCACGAGAACTACACAGCGGGTGGCCGAGAAAACTCCCGTGCTTAAGAAAATTTCTCCTCTATTTTTCTTTTTTATACGAGAATGTTCCTAAAATCAATTGAATAATGGTTTTTTTCGTTATTTCGTTCTGTCTTCTCTCTAAATATTCCATTATGTCATGTGTTATCTACAGAATTTATCGAATCTGTTTATATTCATTGTAGATTTCACTTTTTTCTCCTTTTTTAATGAAAAATTTGTCGATTTTCAGGTAGCACAACCAAGGAGTTTGTTCGAGGAAGTTTTGTCACCTTTTCGAAACAAAGGTAAATTTTTAACCTTATTTATGAAAACAAATTAATTTGAAAAGCATAGTACTGTATCTTCCAGGCGCACTACGCAAAAAAATGAGGAAAGTGCGCGGTCGACCACAGACGTCAAACAATGCCAGCACCGCGAACCCTGTCAACAATTCGAAAGTTGATTCCTCTGCGGAAATACCCCAAAATCTCACAAACCGTGATGAAGACAATCAAACTGTGAAGCGAAAGCTGGACGAAGTAATGGAGAAGCTTCAGTCCATTGAAGAGTCGGTTTCGAAGATTCCGAAAATCGAGAATGATAAAGAATCAACAGAGCGCACAGAGGATAAAGTCGATGATTCTTCTTCAAATTCCATGGTATCAACCGTAAATTGAATTCAAACAATAATGTTGTTTTCTTTCAGGTTTCGAAACCAGTACAAAAAGAAGAAAAACGATTTGTATTGAAGCACATTTTCAATAATGTCGCGAGCTTTGACGAAGAAACGAATCATTGCAGTGTTCAAGAAAATCATTTCAACCTTGATAGGTACCTATTCGAATTTCAGTTCTTCTTGCAGCAACATGTATCTAATTTTCAGTTACATTATCGTACAACGTTTGGATGGTCACCTTGCTGTCTACTTTCATATTTGTGGTCCGAAAGATAAAATTAAATGGGCAGTGGAAACGAAAGGAGAACTCAAAATTTATGGCAAAAATCAGAAAAGAGAAGTCAAAAGTCTTGATAAACGATACGAAAAAAATCAAAGTTGGGGATTTCCTAAATTCTTGAAATTCGATGATGTGAAAAATGACTATCTCATCAATGGCAGTTTGAGTGTGGAAGCTCATATTCAAATCATAGAAACCTTTGGGTTGGGAAAAGAGAAAATCCGAACTTTCGATGAATCCCAAAAGGACGTCTCGGATTTCGTCGTTTCTGTGAGAGACACCAAATTTCATGTTCAAAAAATGGTATTACTCGTCTAATCTCAAAAAAGTAAATCACATTTTTTCAGTTTCTCGCCGCTCAATCACCATATTTTAAAGCTAGTCTGCTCGGAAACTTCACAGAATCGAAGAAATCTGAAATCACATTGAATGGAATCGACCCTGACGATTTTCACTACTTCTTGGAAGTTTTATACGGAGAAGACGTGGTGGATGGTAATAACATTTTTTTATTTGTAACAGTTCATCAAATGTGTATTCAGAGAGTACGGTTGAAGGAATTGCTCTTCTAGCCGACATGTATGACGCACCTACTGCGATGAGAAGATGCGAGAGTTTCCTTATCAACGAATCTAAGAAATCGTTGAAAAAGATAATTCAAATGGCCAGTCGCTATCATCTGGAGAATGTGAAGGTAGAATTTTTGAACATTCAAACAGATTAATAGTTTTATTTCTAGAACAAATGCATTGAAAAAATCAAAACAATGGGCGAGCTGCGATCCGTCCTCCCGGCAAACATAAATGATTTGGATCAGGATGTGATGGGCAAATTGCTCCAGAAAAGCATTTCTCTTCATTGATTTCTCGCATTTTCGTTTTTTTGCTTCTTTCTAAGAAAAACTGTGATGAAGTTTTTTCAAGCTAATAGTATTTGTTTATGAGCTTTAAAAATGCGATTCTATTCAAACTTACTTTGTCTATGTAATCGTATTCTCATTTGAACTTTTTTTTTCTATTTTCGAATAAAGTAATTATCTAAAACCTGAAAAATCTCACGCAGCCGGATTTCGACACAGAGCTTTAATTCCAGATTTGCGTTATATGAGTGGGGGGGGGGGGGGGGGGGGAATTTTTATGCAACTCTGATGTTCATGATATCTAATGTTTTCATGTTTCTGCAGATGGTGCTCAGTGTAGATTTTGTCGTCTCGGGCTTCTTTTTTGAAAATAATCAGATACTTCATGACGATTCCAAACATTCTGTTGCCTCTTGAGTGACGGTTTCCTTCATAGTGTATCTGTGAATGATAAGACTTGTTTGATAAACTTCTTGTTGGCTTTAGGAAAACTGAAATTCCAATCTAGCAGGCTATCAATGACGTCTTGGCTTGTAGAGAGTCGAGATTCGACGATCCAACAAGCTGTCCACTGATAAATTTTTCATCAAAATATCTGACGTGTTTTGTCAGTTGACATATGTTTAACACCTCGCATAGGAATTGAAGTAAATGAGCTCAAATAGTAAATTAGCTCAATCAAAAATCGAGCGGTCTCATCTGAATTCTACCAACCTCCGATCAAGACTTGCCGACGACGCCAAAGTATCTTTTCGAAATTACATACAAACTTCCCGCAAATGTGCCAACACGTCTAAATGAATAACCTCTTGAAGAGACGTTGACTGATTTTGACATTTTGACATAAGTAACAAATTTCCCTATTTTTAATTTTCACTGAAATCTTATTTTTCTTGTTAACCGTAATTTCAATTCGTTTCGCCAGTCCTAGTTGATCTCTTTGATTTTTCAATCCCAATTTGGTAATCAGATTTCCAATAAAGAAACAAAAATCTGAAAATCTTGATACTTATCTTCTAAAAATTAGTCATCTTATTTAATTGAAATTCCTAATATCCCTCAAAATTGGTCAAATAATCCGAGAACTAAAAATAAAAAGCGCAAATTCAAAAAACACAATCTCTTTTTCTCTGCTCCGTGAGTCTTCGTACTTTGTATGCAAATGGTGGTGTATCAGGAACAAAACTAAATTCAGTCGTTGGTCGGCTTATCACAAACCAGAAAATTTCAAGAAATCAGAAATTATATGACAGAAACCAGAAAAAACAATCGCGCTTTTGGATATTTCGAAAATGCACGTTTTAGCATAATCTAGAGACAGAGATCAGAAAATTATGATAGGTTGAGTGGAGATTTATATGTTATTGGAACTGATGTGAATATAAATAATTTTATTCATCAATAAAAATCAATTTCAGCTTTCAACTTGAGATTCCAGGTTGCACAAAAACGTCGTACACCAGCTTCTTGAATCCAAATCCAGGAGATCCCAGTTGAAACATCATACTGACGTACTGTAGGTCGCTGTTCGTTTTGTTCATGACATTGAAAATTGACAAAAGTTCCAAGAAACGAGTTGGAGCAGCTTTTTGATACGTCATTTGGCAATAAGCAAACAGTCGTGATGTGAGCTCTTCTTGGAAGGATTTCAAGGTCTTTTGAGCCTCGTTGGACACGGTGCAGAGAGCTGGAACACGGTTTTAGTTGTTTGGATAGCTCGAAATCGGATTTTACCTGGGTTACAAAGAAAAACATATGTGAGGAAGAGACATTCTTCTTTTGTAACTCTCAACTTGATCAGTGTGCCAACCAGTGTAGTGCAAATGCTATCCAAGATTTCTGGATTCCCTGTGAATAGCTCCCGAACTTCATCTGGATAGACGTCTTCTCCATGTGGAGTCAGCAAAATATCCCGTCCATTGCTCATCGTGACCATTGCTCCGGTCAGTAATGCTATTGGTAGATAATTGGAGGAGAACAGAGCTCTCTGAAATTTTCAAAAAATTTGTATTAGTTATTACTGGATAAGGCAAACTTGATCATAAAAATCGAGCTTGGTGAAGAAATCACATTGAGAAACAAGCTGAATCCAGGAGAAGACATCGAGAAAAGCCCATTCATGAGCACCAACCTTTACGTCACTTGTCTGAAATGTTCGGGTCTATTGTCTCGATACGATGGTTTTACTCACCTTTACTATCAGTTTCATTGATGATCTATCACGCAGAACATCCTCCAAAGTTGGATCCACAAGTGAATACGTGCGAGTCAGAGACCTATATCGGTCCTCTTCCATAATTATCATTCCCTTCACAATTGCGTTCAATTTATCCAATTGATCAGGTAACATAGGTCGTGGGTCAGGAATTAATTGCATTCCCATTCGCAAGCATTTTTGAAAACGGCAATACTTGCATTTGGGAAATATTATTAAGTTGTCGTAGCAATTTTTTGATTGTCTACAATTGTATTCCAAACTTTCCACAGATACTCGACGAAAGAACATTTTACAGGCAGAGCACGAGAGAACCTGTAATTTAACCGTTTTAGCTAGAATTATCTTGAAGTTGAAATATCAGCCTATATCTATGAGTCTCCATTAAAGTTTGTGAAATCGTAACGACTCCTCTTCAACTTTCCAAAAAGTTCTAACCGGTAGAAAAAAATCAAAAAATGCATATTTTACGGTTTTCAAAATATCAAAACTTTACCTTTCCAACTTACCCCATAGTTTCTCCCAGACGCAGGTTTCCAGCACACCCGACATCCGGTCTTTTCATTCAGGTACACGTTCGGATTTCTGATGCCTCTGGGCATAATGAACGACACGAAAAGAATAGTGGCCTTGGTGCTGATAGGTGGTAATAGCCGCTTCAAAATATGAGATTAATACACACGGAGTGTGGTCAGCTCACTCTGATATTAGCCCAGGTGAGAATAAGAGACGCAGGATTTGAGTCAGAGGCGTATAATTTTGTTCGATGTATGAGAAAAGACACATCTAGACCAAAATGTGCTGGTTTTTAGACTCTAAGTATAAGGGCGAGTTCACCGTGATCAATCCGTTCAGAGCAAGGTGATGTAATCATAAAAGAGCTAACTGGCTGAGAAAAGAAACCCCCTGCAAACACCTGATTCTAAAAGGTTCAGTTGTTCGGATTCTAAAAGACTTTGTTCATAATTGGAGGTAGACGACTGGAAGTATGTGAAAAGTCATTTTTTAAGAGGCAAATATTCATATTAAAATCTACAAAAAGTGATGGAGATTTTAGCTAACTATACATTTTCGTATTTCAATTTTAACCTCGAAAAAGAATTCAGAGCACCTGCTTTTCACATTTGATTAAACATCGAATTCACTTCTAGTAAAAGTTCTAGTAAAAGGGGTTCTATTAGTAAAATTGGTTATTTATAGAAAAACGTATAAAACCTATCAGAATTTCAACTACTATACAAAAGCGAAAAAAACCAGAAAACAGTAAATGAATGAAAAAAAAGGAAAGACTCGGTTGACAAAAACTGAATCTTCTATAACTACTACACAGGGAAAATTCTATTTGAATAAAAGGGAAAACCGAAGAAATGTTTTGAAAAACTGGAGCAATGGAGTAGGTGAAGGGTGAGATGACGGCCGGAACCGTTGCGCACATACAGTCCAAGTGGTTTATTTTAATTATTCCCGGGGACCGAATAAGAAGGAATCCATCATCGCCCATTGTTGCCTGTACTATTCAGTTATTCAGTAAATTCCGTGCTCTGAGCAAAAAAGCAAATCAAAATGTTTGTGATACCAGCCTGTTTGCCGCGCCTCCGGTGCTTCAAACAGCTGGCGTGGGTGCCTACGGCGCGAGATCGTCGCTTCGCTCCTCTGACTTCTTTTCTCATTTTTCTTCAGACTTGCCAACCCCAAAATTATATGATAGATCAAATTTGGTCTGACGGATTTTTCCTTTGAAAAACTTTCCTTCAGGGAATAAAACGGAATGGCACACAAAGAGGAAAAAAGACACCACATCATTTATTTATTATAAGAATGATTTTTATAATTGAAGAATAGTTTTTGTTATGTTGACATGTTTTGTTCAATCTGATAAAATCCATACCTGGAAAAAAAATATTTGGTTAACTCATTCATAGTTTCATTTTCAGGTATTGTGTTTCTTATGACTTTTGATCACTCATATACAGTGACGGTCGATTAAACATACAGAAATTGATTTTTCAGTTGATTTTTGGCCTTTTTGGTTATTTTCGGGAGTCTGGGAGCTCGGCTGTCAAGTTTGCAATTACTTTGAAGATTTTTTAAACATTTTTTCATGCTTAAAGCATACCTAGATCACAAACTTTGCATATTTTGAAAATTTCTAGTTTTTCATCTATTCGCCGATTTTTGAAAAACACCTTCGCCTGTTTTAGCACTGAAAACATAAAAAAGTTGATGAAAAGATGAACAACTAGAAACATTCAAAATTTATGTGAATGCGAATTTTTCCATCTAGGCCTGTTTTACATCCTCAAAAATTTTAACGTGATTGGAAACTTGACATCCGAGCTCCAGACTCCTGGAAATGGTCAAAATTACCAAAAATCGACTGTCAAATACGTTTTGGTACACATAATAGAACACCAGCTCTAATACAAGGTCACCCAAATGAGGTGAATGAGGTAGCAAAACAAAGTTGTCATGCTTGATTAACAGAGTAGCAGTAGAAACTAGAAATTTCGCATCAAATTTATCGTTTACGTTTTCTGTTAACCAAGTAAAAAACCAATTTTTGTTATCTCGCAACATCACAAAACACCACTCCAAAAAACAGAACGAAATGGCGATATATTACAGTTTTTACCGTATCTTTTTATTGTGAATTCCATTCGCCTTGATCCTTACACATTCGAGGTACAGGGAGTTAAGAGCCAAAATTTGTCAATTGGGGGCTATGCATACCACAACAATAAAATGTGCTCTTCATTTTCATATTCGTCGTCCTTTTTTTTGAATATAAACGTCCCACTAACCACCAAAAATTCTAAAATACTACATAAATTCTGAATAATTAACCTTCATCTTTCCAACCCATTGTTGTTTTCTAGTTTACCCTTTTTTCTCTTCGAAAAATATGACAATTCGAATTCCGAATTTCGTTTAGGCACTATTTTGGTGGACAAAGAGATTTTCTCCAGCCAACGCTCCAATAAAAGCAAAAATGTGTCGTGCTATTCATCCCTGCGTCGAGTTTTGTCAAAAACTCTCGTCATCGAATTTATAAAATCTCATCATGTATTTTTTTTTCGTCGACAAACTTCTTTTATTGAATCTGTTCAGATGAAGAAGATTGAGAACCCTATCCCAATTTTATCGGGTTTGTCAAGAAATCCAAAAAAACTGATTTTTGAAAATAAAAAAAAGAAAAATACGCCAAAAAAGATGTGCAATCGTTTTTCGTGTCGCCATCCGAGATGTCAAAATGAGATGTTCAAGTAGCAGTAATTTAGGCGTTGTGAAACCTTCTAGGGCCTACATTTCAATATATACCCCTCTCTTTTATGCCCTTCTTCGGACAAGTGGCTTGTGGAGAGCCTCAATGAGTCAAGTGGCGATTCAGAATCATTTATCATACGATCATCCGATTTTTGAGTCTAATTTTGAAATCCATTGTCACTCAATTTACATCTAATTTTGTCTCAGCGTCTGTCATTCACTCTTTTCGGCTCATTTTGGTCCTTCAAGCCGATTTAGGCGCGCATTCGATTGGCGGCGCATTTTTTGAATATTTAAATGCCCGTTTCTTTTCCGGAGTTTTTTTTTGAAATCCATTTTTGCATTAGCTGGTGGTAGTTATTTTCCAGAAAGCCTTTTTCCAGTTTTCAATTTCTCAAAAAGCGTACTAAACTTTTACCAGAGTACTCAGCGAATTGAAAACTTCAATTTTGTAAATTCACACCAGAAGATTCTGTAGTACCAAAAGTTTTACAACCCCACCCAGTGCATTTTTTCCCAGGATGTCATATGGTAGCACTCAAAGAAAAGTATTCCCAGGTACTTCCATTTCACATTCAACATCCAATCTCACTGATGGCTCTTCCGCACCCAGTCCCAAGGAAGTCATAAAACAGTCAGGAATCATGTCGAATCTCCGCCTCCCAGCAAAAAGATTCAAATCTTTTCCTAGTCGTTTACTCACATTCCTTCTACACTCCACTGGAAAAGAGCCTCTTCTTGATCTTTATTTGCTTCCGGATGGACAAGAATATTTGGTAGTGGAATAAAGGCGGGCGGGTTTTTCTTTTCTGTTATTCTCTTCTCCGTTTATCTTTTTTCTGTATCTGTCCCGAATCCAAAATTCTATGTCTTCGAGACCCTTGTAAATGGGTTTGTCTTCGAAAAAAAAAAAACATCATTTTCCAGTCACGTTTGTTTCCACGCTTGCTGGTGATGTTTCAGCATGTTTTTAAGAAGAAATGGAACTAGAATTCAGGCTAGCATCAAGATATTACGAATTGTTTTGTTTTCAGGCCAGAATTTTTTAGTTTCTCATTTTGAAAAATGTTCAAGAATTCTGGCAAACAATTTGGAGGGTACAACAATTTTGGGGTACACAGGGGTACAAAGCAATTGAGGGGTACAAAATCCTCAATTTTGTGGTACAGAATACCGGAAAAAGACTTACATTAGTTTGTACCCACGAATTGTTGGTTTTGTACCCCTAAATCATTTTGTACCTCCGAATTGTTGTATCCTGTTGAGATATTGAGACTTCAAGTTGAGATATTGTGACTGTGGCTAAAACACTCATTTGAACTTGAAATGAGTTTCTAGAGACACAAGCGTAAAACCTCTAATATAACAGCTTTTACATTGTCAAGTTTGAAATTTCATCTTTGTTTCTGTGTTAAACATTGAAAAGTGGCTAATTAACAAAAATTGGATAAGTCTGAGCCTCACCACTGTCGTTCAGAACCACCGCATTTTTTCTAATAGAAGCCCACTCAAACCGTCAACTTTGACCTCAATCATCTTGTTTCCTGTGAAAAATATCAATTTTTGGTCAACTAATGAAATATTGGTGATATTAGGATAAATAATTTATCAGTTGATAAGTTTTAGACATCTTTCCCCGAAATCGTGATGATCGAGCTCGAAATGAACGCATATGATTCATTTCTATTTAGAGCATTTACGGTGTTCAAAATTAGACTTTTCTGAGCCTCAAATTAAACTTTTAAAAGCCTCACCAGTGTCACACAAAAATTTATTATTCAAATTTTTTTTTGAAAAATTAGGACTGCTGATTTTACGTGATTTTATTTCATCATTTAATTTCAAATCATTTGTTTCCTTAGTCACTATGGGTCCACATTTTTTCTCAGAATTTTTCATTTTAGCAAACACTGTCTTAGAAGTCAACCCTACGCACTTTGAGTTCAATTGTCTCAAGTTCTTTAAGAGATATCAGAAATCAGTCAACTGATAAAATATTTGTCATACAGGCAGCAACATTTTATTTGTTGGTATAATTATGATATCTCTTTTAGATATTGAGATAATTGAGCTCAAAATTCAAGTTTAGGGTGACCTTCTATTATACTGTCTACGGTATCTCCAGACTTTCTGCTTAAAATACAATTTGAGCAAAGTCGAGTTTTTGAACATTTTTTGAAAAATTGAGAACATTTCCTAGAAATGGGTCGGCTCTGAATTTGAGAAATATGAGCTTAACGCATTCTTAGAAAATCGAAGTTCTCAAAAATCCAACAAACTGAAAATAAACACAACTTCCTCGATTTTTGCCACCTAATAAGGAAGTGAACAAAAAATT